TGCACCTGACCCGAGGAGGGGGGCATTAAGTAGTCTGTTGGTGCACGGCGGGGCTGAGCTCTGTCCAGCAGTTGTCATCCAGCTCGGGTGGGATGAGCAAGATGGTGCTCCACACTTGCTGGCACCAGGCTGTTGGTGTTGGTGTCGCTCGATATGATCTTCTCTAGTTGCACTCGAGCCAGAGAAGACACACACAGTGTCTCCTGGCCACCAGTTTTACGACTTGAGCAGTGGCATACTATGTGGTGACCAGGAAGCCACAGCTGTCCCCCTTCTTCCTCCTGTGCTTGTCCGGGTCACTACCCCCTTTCAGATTGAGGTCAAAAGACACAAACAAGTACTAACATTGTCCCAAGCACCTCTGCCTGAGGCCTCATGTCCAGTGTTCTAGAACTAAGCATGCGACTCGGTGTGAATTTCATCTGTCATCACCACCACCTCCCTCTTTCCCCGTGGTTCTTGTTGGCTCCTGAGTCATTCAGGGTCGGATCCTTCATGCCTTCAGCCTTCACACCTGCCTCTGACATGTCATCTGTGGAGGGGGGCAGTGGCAGTGGGGCTCTGTACGCATAGCTCTGAGCAGCTCAGCTGGAGTCCACCTGTGTGGCCCTGTGCTGTGTCCCCCGGTAACCTGGGCTGGCTGTTTTCTTCACCCCAGAGCATTTCCCAGCACATGCATGTTTAGTTCCACTTGTGCTGGGTGCCCTGTGACGTTCCCAAGGCTCCCAAGGCTGAGGCTAGATCTTGGGCTGCCGAAGCAACCATCTAAGCCCCTCCCCTTGTCTTTCAGATCTTGGGCATGGCCTTCTCCATGACCCTGTTCCAGCACATCCACCGGACGGGTAAAAAATATGATGCGTGAGCGGGCTGGCGGGGGCACCCAGCCCCACCCGGACGCTGTGCCAGGGAAGAGGATCTGAACTTCGTCCCCTGCCTGTGCCCTCCAGACTGCCATCCCTGCCCCACTTCCCTAGTCTGCCCTCCCCCTGCCCACCCACTTCAGCCTCAGACTTCTCAGAGGGCGGAGGGCCCAGTGGGAGGCAGCGCGCAGAGACCTTGGGGCACTGGACACCTGGATTCCTGCACCTGCGATTTGCCAAAGACGACAGGGTGGGCTGGGGGACGCCAAGGAGGAAGTCTCCAGCACTGATGGGTTCCTACCTGCTGCCCTTCCTCACACTGACACTTTGTCCCCAGGTGGGGTGGGGAGCAGAGCATTCCCCCCGCCCCGGGGGAGAGTCTGCCCCTGCGGAGGCCACTGCCGTCCATACCGCCCAGCCAGAGAGCTGGCCAGGGCGGGTCCGACCGCCGCCCGCTGGAGCATCTTGCCCAGGCTTTTTATACCTTACAGTGTAACTTTTTTATTTTATTTTACTCTGATTATGATTATTCAGGAATATTATCTCTCAGATAAGTTTAGGGTTAGCTTTTCTGATTTATAACTTTTTACTGTGTTGATTTCTTTAACGGTTTGAGTTTCCTTCTCCTGTGGGTGGGGAAGGGTGGGGAGATGGGACGTCCGTCCAGTTTCCACCCGGATACTCCTGAAGCTGTTGGGTGGGACGCACCAGGCTCTGCCTGAGATGTACCAGGAAGGAGGGGGGATGGCTAGCATGCGGCCCCCTGAGGCCTGGCATCTGTGAATAGGGGCCCAGGAAAGGCGGGAAAGACAAAGGAGCATCATATGGGCATGACAGGGCATCCTGCACAGGGGCAGTGGCATTTGCTGACCGAGCCAGGGAGGCCAGAGCAGTGGTGGGGTGGGCTGGGGGTCCTCCGGGTAGGTGGCTGGTGAAGGGCTTTTCCAGGACTGTGGCCAAAGCTGACAGAGCCTTGTGCTTTTCAATGGTGAGCAGTTTTTAGTGTGGCCTTCTTCCTCCCTCTGCTGGCCTGGGTGGCTTCCCTTCCCACTCATGCCCAGGTCCCATAACCCCTGTTACTTTCACAGACATTCCTGCCGCAGACTCTGAGACACAGCCCTCTAGTTCAGGAACTGCTCACATTCATTGTCACTTACCTTAGGAGAGGGAAGCAGTCCTCATGGTCAGCTGCTCAGATGGTGGCAGAGGATCCAGGCCCATCAGGAGGGGGAGGCTGAACCGGCGCACATGACTGTCCCTGCCAGATTACCCCAGCTGACTACCCTGCTGGGGGAGGAGGGACGGGAGCACGTGGCTCCCAGGGCCCTCATCCCCTTGCGGGGGTTCGTTGCTGTCTGCAGAGGGGTGGGTGGCCACCACATCTTGTATCATCCCAAGGAAATGAGATACAGAAAACCCCAGAGGCTGGGGGATCTTGTCACAGAGGTCCCAGGAAAAAAGAGCAGTCGGTCCTGGCACACACAGACCTGGGTGTGGAGACCAACAGGCGGGTTTTCAGCTACAGCAGGGCACCCCCGCCAGAACTGGGGCTCGTCTATAGTTTAAAAACTCAAGAATCCACAGGACTGAGCTTGAAAAGGTCACCTCGGGGCTCGCTAGGGGCCAGGCGTGTCACTGGGTGGGGCCTTGTGTGGGCAGCTGCCTTTCCCTGCTCATTGCCTAGATCTCTCACCAAACTCCACCTGCCTTGTCTGTTCCCAGAGCTGAAAAGGCCACCAGCCAACCAGTCACCCTCCACTCACCTTCACTAACATAGAAATCGGGACCAGGAGCGCAGGACTTTTGGTGTGTTCAGGATTCATGTTTTGGGGGTGGGAGTGGAAAACAAAGTGGTCTCAGTAAGTAGGACAGAGTGAAAACCACTTCCCTGAGACAGGAGCATGGCGCTGATGGACATCGCAGCGGGGCGGGTCCTGGGCATGTGGGGCAGGCAACGTGAGTAGAGCTGCTCTGGCCTGTTCTGGTTAGGAGCAGCAGCTGCCTCTCTAGGGCCCCAAATGCAGAGACATTCAGCAACGAGTGTTGGAGCGCAGTGAGACCTGGTGCATATGTTTTTGGTGGTGGGGATGGGTTCATTTATGCCTATCAATGCAATTCTTAATTTTTGTTAATATCCACAGCAAAAGCCTAGTATGTTAGGAGGTGTCTAGCCTCCCTGGCAGTCTTGTTTCTGGAGTGCTTCAGGGTGGCCTCTTGCTCTGGAGCCTTTGCCGCAGTCCCTCCCCGCCACTGACCCCACCAGCCCCCTCCTCATCCGTCCATGTACAGAGCATTGTCCACAAGTCCCCAAACTGCCTTTTTGCCTCACCTGTTCCTTCATGTTGCTGAGTCTACATGGGGTGGAAGTCTCCATGCAAGGGCAGGTGTTCTCCTGAGCCCCTTGACCATCCTGCAGAACGGTCCCCACACTATCCGGAAGGCCAGGAAGGTGGCTCAGTGTCTTCTCCATTTCTCCCTACTATGATCTCATTGGGGCCAAATCCCGCCGAGTGAATTCCCTCCCTTGCCAAAGTAAGAGTGAGTTCAATTAGGTCCGATGCAAGCAATTTACAGACCTGACTCACAAAGTCCCTTAGGGTTTGCAGGCGACTTCAAGGGAATGCCTAATGTAGACTCAGCCTTTCCTTGAAGCCATCTTGCTGAGGAGGTGAACTCACAGCTGAGAACTGCCTTGGGGTGGCTGGCGGTGGGTGTCAGGGTGCAAATCTCCCCTGCGCAGCCACGCTCTCTGAGCTGGATCGGTGCCACCAGCCTTCCTGCCAGCCTGGGCCTGCATCTTGGGCCCTCGCCCTGGAAAGGTCGCTGAACACACCCCAGATCCCCTCGCACGTGTTCTGGTTGGGCTTGGAACTAGGTAGCCATGCCTCCAGGTTTGGGTGGCTACAGAGTAGACAGATGGATGGAGTGACTGTCTCCTCCTCTCCAGCCCCCTGCCCACCCTCTGGTGGAGGTGCTAACTAGCAGGGACATGGCACAGGATGGGAGCTGGGTGCCAGGTGCTTGGGGTCTCTTCTTTCCCCCTCAGCCCTTCAGAGCCCAGTGACCCCTCTTGTGTTCCATTCTCCCATTTTCCTTTTCTCTACCACTGTGAGGCAGTGGTCCAGGGTGGGTCCTGGCCTCCCTGCCTCGAATGGTGTCTCTGAGGAGTGTGGGCCTCCTGTCCACACCCTGCCCGCTGTCCCCGGGCAGCACAGGAGAGCCTGGAGTGCACGCTTGTTGGTTTCAAATGCACTTTTCTGCTTGCAGTGCCCTACATGTGCGTCCCCTTCATCCCGGTCCTGGCTTTATTGAGCACCATGTTTTTAGCATGTTTTTAAATAAAAATTGATAACGCGTCAAAAGCACAAGCAGACTGTCTCTTCGTGGTGCATTTTGTTCATCTAGCTGTGACTGTGATCTAGTCATTATACTGGTTGGTATGAAGGGCCCAAAGAGTCCTCAGACTCCAGTCTTAGGACATCTAGGACATTTCCCCAGTGGGGACCTCATCTCCCTCCCAGGGTCCTGGTTCCCCACTGGTGTGGGAAGGGTCTCAGTCCCCTCTGTGGGTACCTGAGGAATCCTGACTCCTTGGGTGACCTGATACCTACGCCTAGATCAGGGGTCAGTCCAAATGAGGCCTGAGCCCTCTACCTGAGAGACCATTGCCTCATCTCAGTGGCTGTCTCCCCAGAAGTGGTCAACCCTATGTGAGGGGCGAGGAGCACATCTCTGATATTCTCAGGGTTCCTTTGAGCCTGATGTCTCTTCTAGGAATGCAGAGAGCTTAAGAACCCTTCCAGGGCAGCTCTGAGACATTCTCCAAGAAAGCCCAGAAATCACAGTCTGAGGATGGTCACAGGGAGGGGCTGCCCCCACTGCCGTGGTTGGGGTTCTGGTTTACAGACTTTCCTTAGTTGTCATAGTCAACACCACAGGGACGAGTTACAGATGAGGCAGCTCTGAGTTCTTGCCCAGGGTCATTGCTGTGTCACTTGTCCCTGGGATGGGGGCAGGATGAGGCATGAATGTGCACTCAGGTCTGAAGGCAATAGGAGGAGGGGCAGCTCCAAACTCCCTTATCTCCTCTCTCAAGGGAATAGTCACATCTTCAGAATTGTCCCCAAACACCAGTCTTTGGAGCTCTTATTTGCAGCTGTTATGTTTCAAAGCCTCTGGTTACTTTTCCCTGAATCTGGAGTGACCTTCTCTCAAAGGGTCCAGCTGGAATGGGGTCTCCGAGAGCCTCCCCAGGAGATTGACTGAGAAGGATTTTGGGGCCGAAAAAGCAGGAGCTGGTTATGGCTGAGGGCAGGTAAGCTATTATCTGACCTGAGGGAAGCCACTTTGTCTCAGTCAATTCTTGCTCTTGCTTTTCCTTCCTGGTTGTGGGCATACCTGCTGGGGCATCCCAGCAGGGACAGTGTGCTGTCTGCTGGTAGCTCACAGGGCAGTGGAACACACTGAATCCCCTTCTAGCACCAGACCCTGGTTCATTGAGCAGAGCCATGGAAGGTAGGAGTCCTGGCTGGGCAGCAGACGGGCCTCTGTTTTCCTTGGGTCTTCTAATGGTGATGCTCGAGTCTTCTGGGATGGGTTCTGGGTTCTCCTGTTCATAGAGATGGGTTTAAGATGACTCTGGGTGCCGCAGCCCGGCTGGCTGGGCAAATTAACCAGGGGGTGACGAATAACTTGTGTATGTTGATACAGCAGGAGTGGAAGCCGTTTATTGTAGGACAGGAGCGGTATTTATACATTCCACACAGCTTATCTTAATTAGCATAAACTAGATACATCAGTCAACCAATAAGGAATCTCCACACTTAATAGCTCACTGGAGTTACTTCACAAACCACTCCCTCTGGCATTTTGCCAGGCGCCATCCAGACTTGTTTATGAACTCTAACATTCCCCTGGCAAAATGCCAGGTGTTATTTTGACTTGTTTACAGACTCTAACATTTCCCCCTTTTGTTTAAATAACAACCATAGTGGTTTTTACAGAAACACCATAAATAACTTGCTACAAACAGAAAGGAAGGATACAAAATGCCACAATACCAAGCGAATCGATGGCTCCATGCAAGAAGCCTTTGGAAAAATTATACCAGCAATGACACCGTTAGCAAAGATACCGAGTTACAATTTGTTGTAGATTACAGTTTGTTATCTCAGTCCAGGTAAAGCAGTGTCTCAATAGATTAACTCATAGTCCAGGTAAATCACAGTCCAGGTAAGTTCTGCAGGCAGCTAGCTTAAATCACAGTCCAGGTAAGTTCTGCAGGCAGCTAGCTT